GCCTTTAATGCTTACTATTACAGTTTACTTATTTTAAATGTACCTCTCTGTCAAGGGTAGCTAAAGATTGTGCATTGTGTAGACGTGTACAGTTTTCCAAATGTGTTGGTGCAACTGTAGAGGCTCAGTGGCACTGACGTACCAGGCAGCCAGAATGAAAAGAATGTTCTGTTATTAGTGGAAAAGCTCCTATTATGTGGATTAATCTACAGCTTCGACTTTGATCTCCTGACTCACTCTAAGCGACTTTGGTGGGGAGCTGGGGCCAGCGCACATTTCAGACACATACACGCCGAATGCACATGCTGTAACTAATGTCCACGATGAGTCACATAATCCTGGTTGAAAACGAAATTAGGCTCTTTCAAAACAAGTCAAAATAATCTGTCCAATGTCTCGGTGTTCAGTTCATTTAGTTATTCAACAAAAATGTTGGATAATACTATTGAGCAAATAGCCCCTCACCAAAGTATCAGGAAAGAAAAGGTCCTTTGTTAAAATAAAACAATTAAAATGTACTTGTCTGTGTGTGTGTGTGTGTGTGCATATCACATTATTGAGACTTTTCTTAGGGGGAAAAAATCCAGTCCCTATAATGTCAATTATTACATTTTAAGGTGAAGACATGTTTTAAGATTAGGTTAACGTGAAATTTAGGTTATGGAGAGTGTGTGCGAGAGTGTCTGTGTGTGTGTGTGTGTGTGTGTTTTCAAGATTTTTCTCGGCACCAAAAGGAACAAAAAATCTCTGATTCCCACCGCAGCGTTCCAAGCTCTTAATAAGATTTAAGTTTGTAATGTAGATGCCTAATCATATCCCGATCCCATGTTGAGGCAAAAGACAGAAAAAACATTTTGTGACTAATTTAGATTTAATGATTACCAAGGTGTTAAAGGATTAACGGTGCTTGAAAATACTGTACAACAACAGCCCATGTAACCATAGTTATAAGACAGCAGCGATGACCAGAGGACTCCTTTGTTTTTGGAAACAATGAATACATCTAAATCAGAATCTTACTTTTTAGACTATAATTTAGAGAAGTTTAAAGTTCTCCTCTCTCCTCTGTACAACATAAACTCTGAAAGAGAAAGCTGTGAATGTAATCAGCAGATAAAAGATTAAAGAAGTGTACTTGTATCAGTTACTTTATCATAAATGAGTTGAAATGGTATAAATGTCCAATACAGAGTGAATCACATAAGGGTAGACTTTATGATGACAACCAAGGAAACTGTATGTTCAAAAAGAACGTAAGGCAAGTTTTAGATCTGGTGAGATAGCAAGTAAAGTACTTGGAACAATGCAAACACTTGCACATTTAGCTGGGAAATCATCAGCTGAGTCAAAGAGGCATCTGTGGGAGGTGAAAACATTTAGCTTAAAATCTGTTGTTATGTTATTTAGGGTTCATTTATCTACATCCCAAAACTAGTATATCACTCAGTAGAGCGCATACCGCCACCAAGGCCCAACAGTCGGGGTCTAATGTTAGCTGAACATGTAAGGCAATGCAATGCAAAAAATGTGGTGTGCATTAAACACATAAATACGGCACAATTTGAAACAGCATCCATGTTTTTTCCTCATTCTGACTTCAAAGCACATGAACACAGTGAAGTTGGAACAATGACTTCACAACTTGGAAAATAGTCATTCTGAGACGTATGGTGAACGCACAGTTACCATCCCTACTAGATATATATGATATTGTTTGGATAAGTTATAATATTCCAGCTCAGAGGTGAGCATCAATAAAAAACAGTATCTCAGGCCACCCAACCACAGTCACAATGTCCGCACGGACACACCCACAAACACCCACCCACACACAGACACACACACACACACAGAGTGACTCACCTATAAAACATGACACAGGCAGACACGTTGAACCCTGAGAGATCACACACACACATACAAACACACACGGTCAGGGTGACCCAGTTCCATGTGGCTGGACTCAGTTTTGTTTACACCGCAGCGCCCTCAGCGGATTCCAAATGGTCACAACACACTCAATCTGTGACCTGACCATTTATGGCATTTTAATTGTGCAATTGTGTCACACATCAAAACACACATTCAGAAAGGATGTTGTGTTGAAGTTACTCTTTAGCCAGTTATGCATCACATATAAGCAGGCCTATGTTGTATTTACAACTGGAGACAATTTAGCCCATGGTGGTGGTGTGAGTGGTGGTGTGGGTTGTGTATCTGCGTTGACCTCCAAAGGCCTGGAGAGACTCAGATTCCACCACATCTGGGGACGCCGAACTATTTCCCAACAAGGGTCAGGTTGGAATTTTTATGTAACAGCCACGCTTCTGTGTTTTCAAAACACAGTATATGATCATGTGTTTGTGCGACTGATCTATTCCAGTGGGAAGCACCAAGCTGTTTCTGTTGTCAATTGCGTAACTCTATTACGATTTAGCTCGAACTGAAAACAAACAGAGCGGTTGGACTTACTGGTCCTCACACCAAGCCTTTAAAGTCTGTTAGACCTCCTAGAAGACACTGTGCTTTGAAGCGGAGGAGGGTCTCATCTCTAGTTTTTTTAACAGCACAGGTTTTTGAAGTTGGGGTCTATGCGCCTGTGAAAAAAAAGAACACAGAACCTCTCTGTGTACCTTATTTTGTTTGGGTTTTCTGTCAGAGTCTGTTGTATGCTTGTCAGATACAATATACGTGTCTCAATTCAGGGGCTGCATCCGCCAGAGGCTGCATTTCAACACAAATTGTGTCACAGCGATGTGACTAGTCCCATTTCAAAGCCTCCTCCAAGAGTGGCCGACAAATGCATCCTTCCATCCCTGAGAAGCAGAGGCTCCGATCCATGGATGCATGGATCCTTTCCAGCCCAAACTATGTCAGAGTTCATTGCGGTTGAACCGTTACTGAGGTAATAGCGCTGGCAAGAGAATTGAAACAGAGCTACAAAAGATTCTGAAAAAAATGATGTCACTATTGTCACCTCATACTTAGACAATGCAGCCCAAGCAATCCAGAAGTAAGCTGTGAAGGAAAAGCTGTAACTAACTCATTGGATATGGCTGTCAGCAAAATTAACAACACTAGACTTTCATTATACGAGTTCAATGCATAAATAATTTCCAATTTTCTTCCACTTCACTGGTCTGGGTTGAAGTTGGGGATCTTACTGTCTGCCATGTTGTCTTATGAGTGACTGTATTCTCTGCTTCAGCTGCAGTAAACAACAGGCCACTGCCAGGACACTCTAAACTAAAACATCCATTGCACGCTGCTTTAAATGTTAATCAGATGTTAATTGCAGTCTGATACAAGGATTCGATGAGTTTAAATGCCACAGAATTGCTACAGATATCAGAGAAGTTGTGCCAAGTTCTGTAACTGAGCTTGCACACTCCCATGTGAAGGTTTGATACCTCCTGGTGCTAGTTTTGTAAACAATTCCCAAAGTAGAGTGTTGATCCTGCAAATATATTGTACCGTTGACCTATATACAGGGCAAACCTTTTTTGCAGAAAAAACTGACAAAGCCTTGTATACATGTGGCCTTGGGCTAATGTGTGTTCAGACTCATATTAGATCTTTGGCAGGCTTTCGCATATGTGTTATACTGGCTGTCAGAGGCAGGAGGATGTCTGCCAGGAGCAAGTGCGAACCAGTTGGTTGGAAGACTCTCCATCTGGGCTGTCCTTGGGTTGTCTGAGTGGCAGAGGAGGTGCCACCTCAGTATAGAGCATATAAAAACATTCTAACCTCAAAATAAATGAATGTTGTCGAGCGCAGTGCTGTATTATGAATAGCTGGGTTCAAATAAGATATCCTGTCTCCTTACTGGATCCACCTCTCCAAGCCTCCCTCTTAATGGTTGCTGTCTGATGGAAGAGTAAAAGGGGAGGAGGTGTCAAAGATTGTTTAGCAGTATAATGTATGACCTGCAGAGCTGCTCAACCGAACAGCTAACAGCACACGCATTAAAAGGAAAACAAAGGGCATTTAAACCTTCTTGATATGTCCGACAGTCCTTCATTACTGTTGCCATACAACAGTAATACCGCCCTTATTGCTGTTGTCCGGCAACAGTGATATGTTATTGCTGAGCTAGTATACTACTGGCTAGATATATATAAATTCACCAAATCCAAATGTACTAACTGTAATGTGTGTTTATGATACTGAGATAATAACCTTATCATATTTCTCTCGTGGTGCTGCTGTGAACAAACCCACAAGGACTTTGAAATGTTGTTTTTCGGTCTGCAGGTGAAAATGTGCACAATGTAATTTGACTAGAAGGACGCACTCTGCAGGTCTGACAGCAGGTATGAGGTGTAGACCTGCAGCAGTGACACCGGATGGATGGTTTGATACTATACTTTAGCTCGGGATCCATGCATGTGAAGGCCTCCTTCTGCTGGAAGGGTTAAAGTTAGGTCTTGACCACTGCAAAAGATTTGAGCCTCCACAGTTATTTTTCCCCTTTAAAAGGTGAACTCAAAAAGTAAAGTAAAGGTGGAGTAAAGGAGTATAAAGGAGTAGCAACTAGAAGATTTTCAGGGATGTATATATATATATATGTGTGTACTTTTCATTTTTCATTATCAGATTGCTTACTGACCTCCAACTTGTAATAAAAGGAAAGAGGGGGTCATTTTTTGCAGTGTGCTGTTGTGAATAGGGCGGGGCGGAGAGAGGAGGTTTCCTTCACTGAGAGAGAGAGAGAGAGAGAGAGGGAGGGAGAGAGAGAGGGAGGGAGAGAGAGTGCCTGCATGCATGTGTGTGTGTGTGCGCGTGTGTGTGTGTGTGTGCACGTGTGTGTGTGTGCGGAGACAGAGCGAGAAGTGTCAGCTGGTCGGGGAGTGCAGGGTGAGAGACCAGTGCATGTGTGCGTGTGTTTGGACGTGTGCAAGTGTTGGGTGTACAAGTGTGTGTGTGCGTGTGCGTGCGTGCGTGCGTGTGTGTGTGTGCAGGGAGAGCAGTCCGGGGTGGGGGTGGGGGGACAAGGTGAAGACAACAGATCAGCGGACGGAGGGAGTAGTTTTTGGGGGGGTGAAACAGTTTTGTGTGGAGGGTCCAGACGAGGACAGTCGAAGGAGCGCGCCGGCTGCTGCGTCGTGCGCCCTGGACACGATTCCCTGAGCCACTGCGTCCTGGTGCTGCGCTTTCATTACCCGTAAGCACTTTGGTTTATTTGTGTGTGTCTGAGTCTCAAATGTATGTGGTCTAAGTCAATATTAGAAGCACATTACACACACACGGGAATGCTTCGAAACTCGAAAAGGTAAGAGTTTTTTTTTTTTCCATCCATTTCTTCACACATTCACTGTGCACTCCTCTAAAAGGTTGTCAAACTACTGAAGGTAACACAGCTCATGGGGACGGTGTAAAGGGTACAGAGCGAGTGTCTCTGGAAGAAAATGTGTTATTGTTTACAGAGCATCAAGTTATTTTCAACACTACCTCACTGCAGTCACATTTAGACACTGTTGCTGATGGTGTGATGGGAGTTAGTGTTAGAACGCACACAAAAACACACCATTCACTTCTAGATGCTCCCCTGGAGTTAAGAAGCATCTGCAGTGACTGTCATCCCCTGTTTCTGCCACTAAATCCAACTTTCAAGGAGGATAAGCTGCCTGAGTGTGTATACGTGCGTGTGTGTGTGCTGATTGTCTGTCATAAAGCTCCATTAGCTGTTACTTAATGTAGGCTAATCTCTGCACGCTGCTAAACTTCCTCCTTCCTTCTCTCCTTCCTGATGCACAAAGAAGACTGCAGGTCTTTTTAGGATCAGGTGTCATCAGGGCCTTTATAGGTGGTATAGTGGCAGACTAATACTGTGTGTTAATCATAGACTGTGTATAAAGAGGCGTTAATGCACAGGTACTACATGTTCCGAGAGACTGCAGTTACTTTTTTATCTCTTGATGAGAAAGTACAGCAATAATCTGCTGGGGAAAGAAAAGCTCTCCATGTCAGCATCTGAGTCCTTGGAAAAAAAGTAGGAGTGGGCGTATTATATCCACAAACACACACATACACACACTCACACATGTGGCATTATTAAGTTGCTCCCTGATCCATTTAATTCTCTAGATCTCCCTGTATGACCAGTAAAGCTGAATTACTCCCTTTCTCTGCAGGAGGAACCACAAATGTCAGCAAATGTCAAGCACTCAGAGATTTGGCTTTGCTTTCAGCCTTATTAGCTGCACATATGATCTGCCCTGCTTGCCCTTTTGCCCAGCGCTTTGATTGGTGTGAACACACACTTAAGCCATACGTAAGAACATGAGATACAAAACCGGTCACAGTAGGGAAAAAAAGTGTGCAATTACCAGCAGCGGAGAGGCTGTCTTTTCAGCGTGTGCACACAGTTGCACGCACACACACATTTAAACACACATTCTCAGTCAGCAGAGCAACCTAAAGATAGCAGAGCCCCAGTGGAAACAGTAATTAGTGGGGTGAAAAGAGAGGGGGAGGAGAGGAGGAGGAGGAGGAAGAGATATTGTTTGAACCATCTGATATCTGTTATATAATGACCTGTACAATGGAGACACGCTGGGAGAGAAAGTGAAGAGAAACCAGCAGAGTCAAAGTGTGAGAGGAGCTATTTAGTGAGAGAGATGCAGCTCGGTGAGTGTGTGTGCGTGTGTAGATTCACTTTGCCGAACCTTTTGTTGGAAGCAGTATCAGTTGCAGCATATGTGGGCTGCAGAAATATCCATCTTAACAAATCAGTTCATCCTTTATTCAGTGGATGTCTCCAAAATCTTAACGCAGCTTCCCATGACATTTGGTGGGCAGAGAGAAGTTCTCAAAGGGGACCAATGGATTTGATTTTTATGGTGATCTGGAAATAAGCAAGGATAGGACTTTCCATTCAAAATGGAATTAAAAGTAAAAAACTCCAAACATAACATTATAGCTACAGGGCTGAGGGACACATTTATCTTCATATGACATGAGTTTTGGGGTGTAGCCGCAAAATGTATTTAAAACTCTAGAATAACGTCCCCTCAATCAATAACACTGGAAAACAAATAGATTACATTGGTAGAGCTGAACAGTACTGCAGTGTGTGTACCCTATTCCCAAACACACATATGCACAGCTTCCCCCTGCTTACTCACAGCAGATAATGCTGCACAATGCAGTGGAAATAGCCGACTCCTATTTCAAGTTCCTTCAGAAAGCCTCTCCCCCTCCCTCCCTCTCTCTCTCTCCCCCCTTTTTGACTTGTCTATCAGTCCTGCAGGTGGAGAGTGGTCATGTGCAGAGAGGAGAGAGAGGGTGTCCTATTTAGTCTTAAGCTCCAGGCTTTGTTTGGGAACGGACTTGTGTGTGTGTGTTGTACACAATGGCTGTGTTTACATTGGATTCGGTGTGCACACGTTCATCCATGCATGCACACTCATTCACACCTGCAGGCGTTTGTTTTTTCTTAGGAAGACAGAGGTTTTGTCTTTTTTCTGTAGACTTTACACCAAAAAGATACAAGTTTTGCAAACCAATAATGGTGCAGATGCAACAGCAACTTTAGGGAGTAAATGTATGTGTGTTATTTCAGTGATAGGTAGCTTTCTTTCACTTTTTTTCAATCTGTTTTGTGCTGTATCCTCCCTTCAAATGCAGGGTGCTGGTGAAACCAGTGGGTATCCTTCCCTACAGAGGGAACACTGAAGGAACACCATGGCCTTAGCGGGATGCCCTGACTACTTCTTACGTCACCCAAACTACCAGGTAAATATTTTGTGTCTCGCCTGTAGGTGTGCTGGTCAGTAGCATAAAGAATACGTCAAAGTAATGAGCGTTTCTGTTTTCATGCAACAGAAAAGCTCATGTTAGGACAGTAAATGTTTTTCATTCTGACTTGTTACAGCAGGAAAAGTGCAAGTTTAGCATTTAACTTCTAATAATGGCTGCGTTCCATTTAGCTCCTGTACTTGTGAGCCAACATGCACAATGATAATCCTTCCAATGTTATTTTAATTAGTTTCTGACAAGTCAAAATGTCAGTAATCCTTAGTGGTCCTCATTGTTCACAATGCATCTGTGTTTTTAGTAGATAACGCTGTCCTGTGTGCATGCTAATGCCAAAGCATACTTTGTGTGAGCTTAGTAAATAGGATTATGCCTTGGTTCATCAAATGTTTGTATTTAAATTTTATAGAATATGCTTATTATCCCTGCACAAAATATTAGCTAACATTTAGTTAAATTAACAGTTGGAAGCTAAGTTAGCTATTTAATTAGCTAAGTACATGTGTACTTGCTATATTGAATAACCTTGCAGCAGTATTAACAATTGTATCTCATGGAAATGGTCGATTCATATAACCAGCATAAAGCGCTACATAAGAATTCATTTGGAATGCTGATATATTTAATTTGGGGTTTGTAAGTTGTTTCTAAAACACTTTTTATCTAAATTGTTGAAATCCATTCACGTCCTGCTAGCCATCAACAAATAAAAAGCTTTTGTGTCTGTGACCCTCACAGGACTATAATAAACATGACCAACCAGGTACGCCAGCCAATCATTTAATTGGGTCAGAATGAAAGAATTGTCTGGCATACCAGAAATGTGTGGTTCTTGCCTCTTTGTCTACAAGCTAGTCTCTAACTTGATGGCTGAGGTTTGGTACTGGACTTCTTGAGTGTTATAAACATCTCCCTGCTGTGGCTTGGTTGACGGGAGCTTTAGGAACCAAACAGTAAATTTGCAAGTTGAATTTGTAGAAGCTAAAATATGCTAAAGCCTCATAGAGATGAGGGGAACTTCAGCAACACCCTCCAGATTGCAGACATTAAAGCATTGTTAATACTAATATTAATGTTGTAGTACATAGGTAAGAAAAGGGGTTTGAGTTATGGAAAGTATAATTATCAAACCTCCCTCTCTCTCTGTGTATCAGCATGTGTACAGTGACTTTGCGAGTCTACTTGCTTCACAGTGAATGACTCCCAGTCTAGTTAGGTGAAATATGGCATTTCTGCAACACAACAGACCCACATCCACTGTCCAACTCCTGCAGAATGAGCCCTTTGTTTCTCAGCTCGGATTTTCTCCTCTCCAACCCTCGAGTAACCTAAAGAATTTGGCTAAAGAGCATCGTGGATGTCTATAAATAGAGCATTAAACAAACAACAATAACAAGCTGTGGGCTCTAAAAGCATGGGATTGATTGTATGACGTCTTACTGGGGCTGATGGGACGATGGAGGTGACGTAGCCTCAGCTGCCTTATCCCTCTTAGCGGCGGTACAAACCAGAACCGTGGGACCGCTGAGCCCCTGTTGAACTGACATTAAGTTGGATTGGTTCACGTTAGCTTCCAGGATTCAAGGGTTTTTGCACCAGCAAGGCTGCAGTGAATAGTGAATTGAATCCCCATAGAAAACAACATTCCTCCACCCTGCATCCAAAGAAAAAACAGTTTGATGGCTGGAGGGAGAGAAGTGGGTTACAACATTGCTGTGTGTGTGTGTGTGTGTGTGTGTGTTATGTAAAGCTTGCCAGTTGACATGACACAGCATGGCAAACACACACACACACCCCATGGAGTCTCTCTCTGTGAGCAGTGACTGTAGGTTTAGTGTATAGATAAGGAGCAAATGAGCTCTTTTCTGCATACTTACATAACACTATACATAACACCGGGCATGTTTGGGAATCTGGGCAGCATTCCAGGTCTCCAAAGTGTGTGTGTGTCTATCTCAGTGAGAACCATGGTTTTGTGCCAGAGACGTCTCAGAGGAAGCAGCGACCAACTCTCGTTTTCCTTCTCTCTTTTTCCTTCTATCTCCATATGTCCTGTATGAGTGTGTGTTCGTTGGTGTGTGTGCGCTTGCACCACAGAGTACTGAGGAACCACAGTCCACAGACTCGAAGCTTAACTGAGTTATGACTTAAACAGATCAGAAGAGCGGAAAGAATGAAGTGTTTAACAGATCCTTCTCCCCCGAACATCAGTATTTGTGCCAGCAGTGCTGAACATGCCTGTTCTCTCAGAGAACATAAACTGTAGCTCTTTCTTCCTGTTCTTGGAGGTCAGAGGACAGCAGCTTTAAGTAGCAGTCACCACGGCAATGGGCTTGTGCTTGTGCTTTCGAGGAAGCGTGATACTTAAGAGAGAAAGTATGTTGAAACGCCTAGATATTAATACTGTGGGCTATAAGCTGCAAGTGGAGACGTTTGCCCTTGATGAAAGAGCTGTCAAGAGTAGTTTGAGGATATCAATCAGTGCACAAGAGTAACCCTAATATGTCAAGCTGATGGAAACACCTGGTCTATGTTTTCCTCTAGAAACATGTGACTCCATGACACTGGCCTGGAATATAACTCAAAAAATACAGGCTAAGAGTTAACTCAGTGAAATCGAGGAAAATTGAGAAGACTCTTCAAAGACTTTTCATGCATGTTTAAAGAGCAGATACGGTCTGGAAATCACCATGGCAATACAGTGGGACAGGGAATCCAAGTGAGAGAAGCAAGCGGAGATAACATCTTTCAAGCCAGCAGCCTCAAAGATGATTTAAGCACAGACTGTATTTAACTCACCAGAAATTCCTAAAAGTATGTTTATTAAGCAACATATTGTCCAAGATACAAAGCACAAGTTCCTGTTCTTCAGAAACAGAAGTAACCAAAGGAGATTGTGTCCGACCTGTTATTTATTACTCTATGGGTGGATGTATGGGTCTCTCTGCCACTTTGACCATGACTGAAATATTTTAACATATATTTAATGGATTACTTGGCAAAGGTCCCAAGAGGATTCAATTTATGGCCTTTCCACAACAATGCAGATATATTGAGAATGGAAATATTCTTTAGTGTTTTGGTGTGCACGCATCAAATCACGCATCCACATGATGCCCATTGAGGTTTTACATCCCCTAAAACATATGATGTGTCATCATCCAATTCCCTGCCTACATTAATGCTGATATTTTGCAAAACAAACTTTTCCCTCTGTGTCTGGGCCTCTCGTTCACACACACAATCAGTGTTTTTATTTAGATTTGTATAAACATCTTTCAGATTTTCAAAACTCTGGTTTCTGTGTATCCATGTGTTTATGTAAAACGGAGTGTTTGGGAAACAATGACGTCACAGCTTACGTCCCGTTGTTTTGTGTCCTCCTCCTGTGGCATAGCAGCATAAATCTTTGGAGCAGCAAGTATCTTACTCACTGTACTTTGCTGACACTAAATTACGTGGATAACAGAGCACTTCAGATGTTTTGAGCACTGGTTGCACTCCTGCATGCAAACACTTCATAGCCTTCCTTTAAAAACATCACATCATACATCTATAAATGTGCCAGTGATGAACTTAAAACAATAAATTGAAGATGTCAGAGAAATTCACCCAAAGATTACATAAAAATATAGTTTGAATTATGCCCTTGTGAAACTTAAAACGTAAGACTGAATGTCTGACTCACAATCTACTAAAACTTAAAGAAGAAACCCTCCCTTAAAGTACTGTACAGCTTACTGTATACCCATGAGACTAGCAAGATCAAGAATGCTGTTTATGACTATTGGCAGTTCGGCAAATTGTGCAAAACAGGCTACATCTGGAAAATACATTTACTGAGAAACCAATACCCCTTTTTTAAGAAAGGGAATTGTGATGTTCAAATTTGGATTTCTTGTCACTTAACCTCCTATTGACTGCAGAGGAAGCATCGGTGAACTCCATCTCTTCAGACTATAGTCTATATAGAGTTAGAGGCTTATGGGGAGGTCAAGAGGAGGTTTTTACAGGAGTGTAGCTGGTAAAGTCAACTCTTTCACTGCACCGGTGCTGCAGAGGGGAGGTGGTTGTCTGTGTTTACTTGCAGCTATATACTAACAGTGCTGCTACTGATTTCTGTTACTCGAACCAGGACAGTGTCCTGTGTCCAACTTTGCACATGGTCCAAATTTGCACTGTGCAACTGTATGATTCTTACACCTCAATTGACATGACGTTATAACACGATATAAATGTATGCACATTTCCATGTCATACACGCTAACACATCATAGAAACTAACAACATGTAGACTGTCTGTAAAGATGGACGAAATGACAGCTCCCCAAAAGTCAAGCCAAAGCATCTTGATTGCCACCTGGTGGTTTGCTGCAGGATAGGTTATAAATCCTGTCTCCTCCGTGTTAGTGGATGGGAGGTGGACCAAAAAATCAAAGTACATGTTGAATGCATTTATTTTCACAAAGATGGTTTCTGTCATTCTAGAAGTGTTCATTTTTACAGCAATTTTGGTTTTAATTAATTATTTGATGTTATAAAAATGGGGTAAAACATCATGATTGACAGCTGAGACTGTTGAGTATGTTTATTAACAAGGCCCTCGCTACTGTGGCTCCATTCAGCGATCGCTACTGCACAGTCTCTGGCTCCAAATCAAGATGGCAGCGTTTGTATCTGGGATATTTTAGCTTCATTTCTGGATGGTAGGAGTCTATGATCAACATGTTAGATCTTGTTAAATGTTAAACGTTAAATCAAGTGCAAAAAAAAAGAGACATTTGCTGTTAAACGAAATTATGGTGTTTCTTGGCTCTGAGCTATTGCCTAGCAACCAGTAGAGACTGTCATCACAGTGACATCCCAGTACTGTTTGCATGTTGGCAGACATGCAGTCTGTCACATGATGAGTAAGGTATATTATATGTGAGAGGGGGTTTAGTAGTTAAGTCGTTCTATCTGAGCTTGTCTGCTCGAGCTGAAGCCTGCAGACTTTCTCTGTCAGCCCACAGCCCTGCAGGCAAGTTGCCTTCCTTAGAAAGCTTTTGGCTGTTTCTCAGAGCTCTAAATCTTACTCTGGGCATTTATGGATGTTTTCGAAATGAGTGTGTGTGTGTCTGCGTGCGTGCGTGTGTGTGCATACATGCACAACAGGACCTCTGACCACAAGCAGTTCCTGGAAGCAATGCTTCCGCGTTCTTCTTTTTCCTGGAAAAGGGAAGATTGAAAATTTCTTTGGCTTTTTTCCCTCTTTCTCCTCTGCAGCTTTCTTGCCTCAAGGCTGCTTTAAATTAGACAATGTGCGAGGAACTTGGCAGCATGTGCTTGTATCTCCAGACATGTGAGATTGTATAAGTGTGCCAGAACTGATTTTTTTCGCTCTAAAAATGATTTATAGTTGTTTTGTTGAGTACCTGAGAGTTTGAGACAACATGAATACAGGAACGCGTGAGTGTCTGAGATAGAGAGAAAGCAAGAAAGGGAGAAAGGGAAAGGTCGGTGCCACAGGGTCAGAGGGCATCTGGTTTCTGAACTTGAAGCCTGATGTTTCCTTGAGAGTAGACACATGAATCCACCCTTTGTCTGACCTTCTGAACTCTGTGAAAATAATATATTGTCTAACTCTTCACCAAAATTTCTGAAGTTTTGATCCCACTGAATGTTTTTTACTGGATAGTTTCTCTTTTCTTTCAACAGGAAAGTATGGACCGCACTTCCTCTCACCGGCCTGAGGAGCTTATTGTTCCAGGCTTCCAGCGTTCAGCCAATCAAAATTTGCCACATCACCATGGTAACTCTCCTCATCTCTCATATATATTTTGTTTATCCTCAGTATCTACAGTATATCTATAATCTTCTCTTGGTGACACAACCATTCTCTCGATGTGCTTTTCCCCTTTTCGTCTGTATTTTAATGGGATATCTTCAACCCAAAATCTATTTGCTGGGCTATTAAATGCACTTCCTGTCTTCCTAGAAATCTCCCTCTCTCTCTATCTCCATCTCCATCTAGGACATTGTCTCCCTCCATCACTGCAGGCTCTGCTCTCCAGATGGAGAGGATATAGACAAGTGCTAAAGTGTTTTACCCTCCCTCCCCCCTTTTTAGCACTGCTCAGCACTTTTACCCCCCCCCCTCCTCCTCGTAATACAAATGCATCGGTCTGCTTCCAATAGATTCCCAGAAACCCCTTCAGCTATCATGGAAAATCTTGGGAATCCTTTTGGCAAAAAGCCAACCCAAGGAGAGGAGAGGTTGTAAATTCTCCCTCCTCAACCTCACCTTTTCTTCTCCCTATGGGTGTAGGGTTGTTCAGCAGCTTGTCTACTCTGGTGATGTGTGGTGCTCATGCTTGTGTGAGAGTATTGTAAATATGGCTCCACATGATTGGGGTGAGTGTGTGTGTGTGTGTGTGTGTGTGTGTGTGNTGTGTGTGTGTGTGTGTGTGTGTGTGTGTGTGTGTGTATGTGTGTATGTGTGTGTGGGGGGTTATAGTAAATAGGTCATAGGTCTGTGGGGCAGGTGTGGTGGTATACAGGTTCATACTTGCATAGAGGCAGTGACAACCCAAGAATGATTAGTGTAACTGCACTCCAGTTTCTGGTACTTCTAGGAAGAGTTTTTTTGGTAGTGTCCGATCTTGTCTTTTTCTCAGAAAAGCCTCCTGTCAACCACTGTATAGCTACCAATGGTATTTCTGGCACATACTCATTGCATAAATCAACAGTGAGTATGTGCACAGTAAGCTGTGACATCATCATTTCACAAACGCTCTGTTTTACATGTACACAAACACATAGTGTTGTTGAAAACAAAGTGTATGGAATTCAGGAATAAAATAGTCAGCCATTCTTTCCTTTTGGCCAGGGACCCCTTGCAAGGGACCCCACTTTGAGAAACCCTGTTTTTGGGGATGTAAAATCTCCATGGTCATCATCAGATTTGATTCGTCAGTCCATCAAGCTAACAATCATATCGAGAAGAAATCGTATAAATCATTTCTTCCGAGTGAATGTTCCACTTCAATCTACCAGAATGCAGTGCTGTGACTTTCTTTCTTGCTAGTGGAAAATGTCCTGCACTGATACGACTTTCCTCACCTACTCATAAAAATAAAAAACTATTGCAGCGATTTCAAATCCACTTGGTGGTAGTGAACCTAATCTGGGAAATGGAAAAGCACTAACTGGAGTAGGAGTTGATGAGCCAGGTTGCGGGGTAAAGGAAAAGTAAATTTACAATCCCTGATCATGAATAATTTATAGACTGCACTGGATTAAACCACAGACTGATGATACTAAAGGCACAGACACACAACTTTGTTTTACGTCAATTGCAAATGTCATTGTAGTATTAAACATGCAGAACGAGGTTTATACAGCAGGATACGTGTGATTTAAAATTTAAAAAAAGTCTGAAAAATGTCTTCATTGTTTTCAAACCGACATGTTCAGTTTTTAGTGTCGCCACTAATCATCAACAGATAGCAGTTTTCCATATAAGAACTGACAAATGTCTTCAGTCAAAGCCAGAGACAAAGTCACCCAGCTACCGTTTCATTCTGACTTTGCACTACAGAGAAATATCACATCAACCACTCTGATGGATGTGTTGTATATTTAGACCATGGCTCATGTTACCTGCCCTTCATTTATGCCACTGCTGTCTTTCTAGTGATCTGGTGACGTGTTTTGTTTTGATGCTGGTGTTTTTCCCTGAGCACACTTATTACAAATAAATGAATCAAAACAGAGGTGCATAAGATGTTTTTCTTCAAAATTTGATTTTTTGAGGGGGAGGACCTGATTCCCTGCACCACAAAAGAGATCAAGTGAGCATTGTGGGTGTTGCCTCCTACTCATCTGTTGCCTTACATGCATGTCAACAAATTTACTTCCCCACATTTAGCATTTTGCTCATACTTTTTTATTATGTAGCCTCTTATTTAATTTGTGCGTTGCTGGGGGAGAGAGCACAAAGGTAATTCATTGAGCTGCTTGGTGTAACTACAGACTTGTGGTGGTTATTACTGGTAGTAGGAGGCTTTAGACTGTAAAGCATATCATTGAATGATAATTAAGAGAAAATATTATTACACACATATTTACATCTAGAGAAATCTAGTTTGGAGAAATCCAAGACCTCACTAGTTTCAATTTCAGATTATTGTCCACAAAGTAATCTATGAATACACAAATACAATGCAAGTGCGGATCATATGCATTGAGTACTTGAGTAGTTGTTCAAAATGGACTTAAAGGGATACGTTTTATGCTGAATGGAGTATATATATTTTTATTGTCCATAAAAGAATGTGGTTTCAATTTGCCCCTGAAAACCTGAATGTCCAGCTCTGTTCTCTGACCTCTAGACTGCTGTCAGAGATCGATGATTGTAGGTTGTTGTGGCCAGGGACAGAGAGCACTCATGCAGTGTATTCTGGGATCTCGAAGGAATGATTTGGCCACGTTTGTATGGTAGGTTTTGTCTTTAGATGCAGCCCATACATTTCGTCTACTTTCAAAGTCACAGTTGGAGAGGGAGGATAGGATATTTTAATGCTATACGTCTTCTGGCTTCCTCGACTGAAGCCAGCAGCCACAGCCAAGTGGGCAACAGCAGGAGGGAGAGGAAAACTCCAGTTGACTTATCAGCCTGAATCACAATGTGGAGCTGCAATTGAGAAGAGCTCTAGAGAGAAAACCTTCAAACTGGCAGTAATTTAGACAAAGGACAATCTTCATATTTGTGCACATCAAATATGGTTTAACAAGTTTTTAGTTTTTTTTGTCTAACATGCTTGCAGACAATGCTAACATGCTCAAAGACCATGCTATCATGCACACACTGATGATGCTAACATGCACACCGATGATGTTATGTGCTCACACTGACGATGCTATCATGCTCACACTAACGATGCTACCATGTGCAAATTGACAATGCTGTCATGTGACATATAACACGTGACATACCTCACTTTCAACAATCATCTTTAATACACTCCCACCCTATTCGGCAGTCTACTGAAGCAGAGAAAATGTCCCATCACCCCCTTTGCTTGCCCCACTGCAGTATTGCTGCCAGTTGCTTCAGCCCCTCCACCACCCCAGCATCCACCTATAGGCTCTGACGTGGGGGTTACAAGTGTTTGGTCATCACTCCCATCATATCTATGTAATCATATCGGGGGGAGTGACTAAGTCGGAGCCTAGACACCAAACACTAACATGTTTACAATAAACATTTGAAGTGAGTTGTATGACTGAAATCAAATTATTGGACAAACTGTAATGTTGACACAATAAAAAAGGAAAACTAGATGATGAAAAGGCGAAGAATGTTATTACAACTCATCTGGGGGAAACATGCTCTGTGCCAAATTTGATGGCAATCCATCTGTTAGTTGTCGAGACATTTACTCAAAACCACAAATATGAACTGGTTGGCACAAGAATAAACATCATGGGGATCACCAAAGTCATTAGGGTTTGTCTTCTGGTCCAAAGTGGTGGACTGAGAGACCAACTTCATGGTCCCCAGAGACGTGCAGCTAACATGGCCATAAAGCACTTGGCGACACCCATCAATCTGTTTTTTACTGCTCCAAACATCTTTTTTTATCATTTCTGGAAATAACTAAACGTAGATATTTAAGCCAGAATCTCTAAGAAAAGGCATTTTTATTTTTTATAAATGATACATCACAAGATTACTGAAAACGGACGTTATGAAAAGTAAAATGTATTTATTTGCAGCTATCAATTTGTAACAGGCATTTTTTAAAGGCAACATTTTGACATGTTAGAGTGGGAAAAGAACGGGTGTAAATACTAAAGTGCATGTTGGCTGAATTTCATTTATCTGACTCGGTTCCTGGTATTGTGCACGCTGGCTCGCTGTCACACTCATGACTTACTGGGACACTTGAACAGAACGGAGCCATTGTTAATGTTATTAATGATGTCGGTGCCTTTCCTATTTTAACAAATCAAGATATCTGCTGTGGGAAAGCCCTACAGTTCATCACAGCATACATACTTTCACACATAATAACCGTCTCTGACTGTCCTCATGTGCTCTCTTGTTCTTTTCCAACTGTGTGTCCCCCTCTGTGTACCTCAACCTATGTTTCACCCCTGTACCCCAGCATCACATGACCCTATGTATCGTCCTTTCTGTCTGTGTATGTGTGTGTATGTATGAGTGTCATGCATCCATCTGTGTGATCTGAGATCAGACGGGCCCACTGCTGGTTTTGGTCCAGTGGCTTCTTTTTATCTCAGTGGGCTCAGTGTGTATGTTCACTGCGTGAATGTGCAGCACAATGCAATACTTTTGATTTAATTCTGTATAATTACATACACATGCTCAGCACTGCATAGCAGTACATGGTGTCCTTGGCTCCTCTGAGTGTATGTGTGCGTGCGTGTGCTTCTGTGTGTGTTTTGGTGCCCTACTTTGTCCTGTTCATTTGGTCACCATGTGCCATGAACAGGCTGGTGAACGTTTCCAGAGTGCTGTAATTTCTTCCTACTGGTATGTCAGGAATTCTGTGTGTGGTGTTGGGGTGGGACGCATAGGACCAAAGGGCTTTGGACACACACACAAAAACACACATGTACACATACAGAAACACACAAACACACACACATACAGAAACATATGGAGACATACTGCACTTGTGAGCACACTTGACAGACCTGCCAAGTCTTGCACTTACTTTACTTATTAGGGTTAGGGTTAGGGATAGGGTTATTTCTATCCAAATAGTACACTGTCAGTGCACATTCACTTTTGAGGAGTTAGGATTTTGAAAATAGATAGCTGTAAGCCTGGGAAATGGTAAATAAATAGCACAGTCAGCAAGTGTAACTTAAATGATCCTTAAAGGAAACTTGAATTTTTATTTTAACGCTCAGCAAAAACTACTACTAAATATGAAAGAAAAAAAAGGAGCAGATGAACTGCAGGTCATTAAAGCACGTAGGGTAGATTACACTAGGCCTTCCAGACCCAGGACTGACTTCATTTAATTAGTAAAAGGTCAGGTTAGAGGACGAGTGCTGACAACCGCCTTATTTACTGTCCTGCAAGAGGAGCTCTCGAGACCCTTTCACCCTGGTGTGGTCTGGTCGGTCATTTGGTCTGTGGTAACTGTTTGGTCTCAACCTCCAGTGCTTGATGGACATCTTAGTCCCTTGAGTGACAGCTTTCACATTATCTGACCAATGGCGAGCAAACAAGTCAGTTAACGACACAGTTATTGAAGGAAATCTAAGCCAAAGTGAAATCGGACATGAGGAAGGTAGTTACTTTAAAATCAAGACTCTCTCTGCTTGATGTTTTGGGACCACAGTGTACATTTGGAAATATTTTGACTGTTTACCATATGAAATTATAGCTAATGAAAAGTGCTGGTAATAAGGCACACAGTATGTACAGTAGGAAAAGGGCCAAAAGGCTGAGCTGTGTGTTTAGAGGCAAAGTGAAGCCTCTTTGTGGACCACAAACTATTCATACCAATAATTTATGACAAAATGGCTTAAAGTATTTACTCCATCTGTCTTCAAATACAGAAGGATCATCACATTGCTTTGAATGTATTTACATGCACATAACCAGACTTTGTGGTGTTCTTTTCTTTTTTAAAACGTTTAATATAAGTTATTTATACCAACTGTGAATACGACAGAGATAAGACGAATAACTGTGTAGTGACACATCACTTAATGTGGCCTCTGCAGTTAAATTAGGCAGATTTACTAAAAGTTTCATCTCAGATGAAAGAAAAGATTCTACACCACTATGAAGACTGTCTTTAATAACTATCATCTGGATATTGATGGTTTCAATATAATTTTTCTTGCTGTTACCTATCGAGGCGACACCTAGTGGTTATTTGCTGCCCTGTCACTCACTCCTCCCTCCACCTGCCTCCACAGACGACGATGTGGACCTGGAGCAGCTGGTGAATGAGATGAACTCCTCCATGGAGAGCGTGTACTCCACGCAGGCCGACACTGCGCTCCTCTTGAACAACGGCCACATGCACACTCCGCACTACCACCACCACCAGCAGCATGTGCACGGCGCCTACCCGGGACACGGCCAGGCCCACCGCCGTCACACCCCGCCTCTGCCCCCGCCCTCACCCTCCAAGGAGAGGCTGCGGCACTCACAGCCCATGCACATCCAGGCCGTCAGGTAGACCCACATGACCTGCCCTCGATGTTGATCTCAGTGATTTATGTGTAAGATAAAGTCAGCTGTGTTTGGGACAGTACTGCCTGAGGAAGAACACTTCTGTTTATCTTTTACTGTCTTTTTGTTTTTTTCTTTTGTTGGTTTGTGTGCACAAGGCAAACAATCTGTTCCTGCTGTCTGTATTCTCTCTAGGCCTTTAACTCTTTGCCTTCCACTGCATTTGAGGTTTTATTTTAAACTCCTCGACATAAAATATTAGATGCAAACAACTGATCAATTGCACATGATCGTCCAGATTGATCGAACTACAGATCATGAATCTCGGCTCGGCAGGGGGTCTTTCTGTGTCAACTTTGCATGTTCTCCCCATGTCTGTGTGGGTTTCTCCCACAGTCCAAAGACATGCTGATTGGGGTTAGTTTAATTGGAGACTCTACTTTGGCCATAGGTGTGAATGTGAGAGTGATTGGTTGTTAATGTGTTGGCCTGTCCAGGGTGTACCTCGCCTCTTGTCTAATGTCAGCCGGGATTGGCTCAAGCTCCCCCCACGGCCCTCAAAGGATAAGTAGTATGATAATCGATAGATAGATGGGTCGTGATAGAAGGAAAATCTACATTCACCCTGCACCAAAACTAATCTTTGTGAATAATTTATTTCAGAATTTCAGAAGCAATATTAATTTATACCTATAAACCTATAAATATTTGCTCGATCAAATGTCAGGGATCTAACTAACTTTTTAGTCCACTATAAGATGTGACCTACATCTTTCCATACCAAAATGATTCCCATGACCATAGCTTTCATTGGTCTGCCAGTGCAGTCACATAAAAGTGTGTGTCTCCCTCTGCAGGTGCCTGCAGGAAGAGCAGCAACTGCGTCCAGCCTCCCTGCCAGCCATTCCCAACCCATTCCCTGAACTCTGCAGCCCAGCAGGCTCCCCTGTCCTCAGCACCATACAGAGCTCTGACAACCATGTAAGCATACCCACATCACCTCGCCTGCACTAATACACACTCACTGGAATTATACATATCACAGGAGTCAGGTTCAGAGCCATGACTGGAAAAACTGACCTAATCTAACACTTTTCACTGTTAGTTAGTTTGCAGTTAAGTAGTTACATAGACATGACATCACATGTGGCAGCATACGGTGAGAGAATAAACACACATGGTTGCAGTAATGTTGTTTTTGAAGTTTTTCCTTTCAGTATTTGTGTGGTTGTGTTTGATTTTAAACTCCTCATGGTGTTTGTTGTCCTTTACTTGACCACAATCACAAGTGATGGAGTGTGTGTGAAGGTGTGGGTGTTTGGAAACCAGCTGACTGGCCTGTTATGTTCAGGTCACAGCAGCATGTGTTGACTTTGGCTGCGCACAGCCTTTCCTTCCATTACACAACAGTTCATCCTGGGTTATCTGACTAAATATATACACGTGTGTGTGGGTGTGTTATTATGGAGGCATCATTATCAATCACACACACTCACACGGAGTGTCCGACATGTTTTGCTGTGGAAGGAGGTAAGCAATGTCTCCAGGATGCTGCAGACAGAGTGCAGACTTCCGTAACAGAGCTGGGAACATCTGTAGGGCGGATCTCCCTGAACCTTTTGAATCTGTCTGACGACTTCAGCAAGACAGGCACCAATTTCCGGTTCACACGCTTCAACCCTGGCTCTTAGCTTCATAGTGTGTGCGTGTCATAGCCTTGCCCTTCCTTCCCCATCAGTGCCTCCTGTCCTAGGAATGTTCCATCCTTCTCAAAGATGTTTTCAGGATGCCCACCCTGAACAATAAAAGTTATTTTAGATTCTCACTCACTCTCTTGCAACCCTCCACAAGCTCGCCTACAACAATACACACAGATATACACTGGTGGCATTATTAGTTTCACGCGCACGCATACACATGTGATAAGGGAAAGCATTATTTTTTTCCTTTTGTTGACATCATCTCACAAGGTCTGGAGTCAGAGAGCGAGCTTGCAGTTTGCACAAAGAGCCTTTGTGAGTGTTTGAATCAGTGAGAGCTGATGTGGCCTCATTTCTCTTTCCCAGAGCATCTTCACTTTGTCAACAGTTTCTTCATTCTTCAGCTGAGAAAAACCATCCACCAGTGCTTGTTATAATAAAGAAATACTTACGTATGTGGTGGTTTGTGTATTTTAACTGGAATTTGGGTTTTCTATGTGCAATATTGTTTTACATATGCTTTTTATCTGACATCGATGACCCCCTTCAATTTTTCAAACAGTTGGCTCAGGGGCCTGGCAGCATTTTGCTCCTTCCTCATTGTATTTTTCATGGAATGTCAGGTTTGATTAGGCAGGAATATTCTTTAAGACTCCTTTATGGCATAAAAACAGGAAGATGGTAGTATTCATGGACAGTGATAAAGCCCATGCTAGAAGGAGTAAAAGGCCCATGGTAAAATCACATCCAACATTCTAATGTGTTAAGCATCATCAGCAAATGAGAGAAACATTTAGCCTGAAGAAGCAGAGGAGGTGGCCAAGAGACTGATAGATGTGTGTCATGGGAAATGTAGAGAAACTTATCCAGTCATGAATTAACAAAGCATTGTTACATTCATGCTTAGGAAAAAAAGTTTCCATGGTCCAATTTATACACCATTATATTGACACAATATCTTGGCAATTATTGGCCCAGGTCATTCTAACGTCCCTCTCATGATGATATGAGCTTAGGTGATGACAGCTATTAGATAAAAAGCTTAAATATATTAGCTTTCCTTATCTAGTAGCATCATCAGAACTAGATTTCAATTTGTCCTGTGCTTTGGTTTGTGTGCAAACGACATTCCCTGTGTTCTTTATTACGTGCTAATTAGCAAATATTAGCATGCTCTCACAATAGCCACAGATGCTGAACATGGTACACATTACCTACTAATCATCAGCGTTGTCATTGTGAGCGTGTTTGTATGCTGGTGTTAACAATTAGCTCGAAGCACATCTGTGCCTGAGTAAATCCTCACAGAGCTACTGGCATAGCGCTGTGTGTCTTGTTCTTGACTCTGTGTAAGGATAAATGATAGGTCTGCACTTCCTCCTGTTGAACCAAAAATAAAGCTAAAATATCCCAGTTGCGGGTACCGCCATCTTATGCTTTTGACGGAGTGGAGGCGTGTTATCAGGGTCCTGTGATACAGAGGCTCAACCAATCACAAATTGGTATCAGCTGTCAATCATGACACTGTTTTTATATGATCAAATAACCAATTAAAATCAAACTTTGAAAAATGTATACTGGAACATGCATCAGTGCGATAACTACCTAAAATGACAGAAACCATTTTTTATAAAAATGTATTGGACATGTACTTTGACTTTTTAGTTTAGTCCATGTCCCATCCAGTAACATGGAGGAATTTCTTACCTGCAGCCAGCTACCAGGGGGCGATCAAGATGTATTGGCTTTACTCTTAGAGAGTCGCCAAGTCTTACCCCTCAGTAGTAACTAGACTCTGTCAGTGTAATGCGTGTGGAAAGAAATGTTCCTTAATTTGCTCTAATGCTTGAAATAACACGTGGCCAGTCTTCGGGTGATTGACTCAAACCGTCACTGATCAAATCACTTAAGTTTAGCAAGACCAATGGCAGTGTGGCCATGATGTGGCCTTCAGGTCCAGACATCAGCACTTCATGCTCTATTATGTAATGTCCTGTGAAAGCTTGCAGAAAGGCGAGCGAATGCCATGAAGGTGTTTGAGTCTGTGTACATATATATGTGCAGATTGGTTTGGTTATGAAGTCTAAGGAGCATTGAGTGTGGCTTATACAACAATGCAGATGAGATTCTCAGATGTGCAGCGCATTGGTCCACAGACACTGGCACAGTTTTATCGTAGGATCTCTCTCCCTCCAGCTGCAGAGCTGGAATCTGAACATTCTTTACTAAGCTTCAGTCTTTTTCGAAGGGATACACAGCTTACTGTACATTATGAGACAGTAAAACTGTTTGTGACATGACGGGTTTATGGTCTGTGTTGCATTTGATGAGAAAAGTGGTCTCTAGGGTATTTTGAACAGGCCTCTATAAATACATAACAGGATGGTGAATCTCCATCTGATCTTATTGAGTTAAGGGGAACAACTCATCTAATGGTAAATGTCATTTTATTCTTCAAAAGTTTTCTGGTAGGTGCAGAGATATTTCAGTAGTCTGATTGTTATTAATTCTCAACTCTGATTGTGGCCTTCTCCCATGCAAGTTGGGGTAGTCTTACACCACACCGCTCAGTCATGTTACCCTGCTTTCAATAGGATTTGGTCAGGTCCTGTTTCTCATCACTTGGCCAATGGGTTTGTTTTGGCCTCAAGACTGTAGCTGTAACACAACTCCTGCTTTTATTTGTGGCCCAAGATGCAGCGTTACGAACATCAGGGGTGGCAGGGAGCCCCAGTGCTTAAAGAGACCATCTCTCAACCATAGAACTCAGGTTCAAGCCCCCTGGGTTGGCACACATCCATTCTGTTTAATAAGATTTGAGCAAGACACTGAACCCCTTCCATTCCTGGGTTCGCTGCTCTCCAGATGAGCTTGACCCTTAACCTCCTTGCAGATTGAGGTAAGAAAAAAAATGAAAAAAAGGATGTGGAAAAAGTCAGTTTCTCATGGTTTGTTATTCAGTGTGTGGTCTGATTATTAAAAATGTCTAAATCTTTAGTGTTTTAAAGGATCATGGGCAAAGAGGAATCATACTTTTAATTAGAGTCTGATGAACTCGATGTTTTTCTTTTTTAGTCATGTTTGAGTTTGTCAGTTGTTCTGCCATTTTTTAATATATTTTTTAAATATAACAACTATTGGATCAACTGCCTTGAAATTCAGTATTGACATTCGTGGTCCCCAGAAGATTAATACAAATAATTTTTGAGATCCCCAGATTTTTCTTCTACTTCCACTATGAGGTGAACATGTTTTAACAGCTATCGGATGGATTGCCTGATGGTGATCATAAGGTTGAATTTTAATATTTTCTGTTGGTCCCTCCCCTGATGTTTATCATCGGGTCAAATTAAAAACTATTTGCACAGTTGCCTCTCCTGGTTTACTTTGTGCCGAAATACCAAAAAGTAGAGACGTTACCATTGGTCTCTGGTAACGGTGGTGCAAATTATAAAAAGTATGAGTGCTATCAAGCCAAACAATGGTGGTGAACATAGTATATATTATAACCACTAAACAGCCATTGACGGTGCTGGTGAGCATGTTAGCATTTAGCTCAAAGAACTGCTGTGTTTATGTGGCTTTAATGTGAATGTAGACTCTTGTTTTCACATTCTTGAATGTCTAATACCAGCCTGTGGCTAACGTTGTGATGGTATCGTCTAATTTTTCATTTTGCAATGCTTGAAATGACTGGATGCTTTGTTGTTTTCCAGCCAGTGTGTGTGTGTGTGTGTGTTAGGCATACTGAACCTCACACTTTCTCCAAGTTAACTCCTGTTGGATGTTTTGCTGTGATGTTATATGTCTGTAAATACTGTAAATAACATAAAAGCATAATTGTCAAAGTCTTTTAGAACATTTGTGGTTGGAGAATACTTTTTTACGGTCATTGGGTTAAGGTTAGGTGCTAATGGCATCTATCAGTATTCAATAGTACAATTAAAACGTTACGCTACAATGCAGCTCACATATAAATGTTATGTGCTTATAATTCAGCCTTGTAGCAAAATAAGACATGATGTGCTGCAGCAGTGACTTAAAAACTAATTTAATACTCAAGCAATGAGCACTCTGGGTTTAGGACTCCCACCCCCCCCCTTATCTGTGGTCAGCTGACGTGCTTCTGCACGCAATGGTCTGCTGACCCACTGCAATCAGATCAGGTACATGTAAGTTTGTGTGCAAAGATGGCAGAGAAAGCCTGTTCAACATTGTAAGCTTATAATGTCATGGATATGTAAGCTCCATTGTTAGGCAGACGGTCACTTGCAGTTCTTC